CTAACATGTAATCATTAATCATGTTGACATCTTCATTAGTTGGACATAGAATAGCTCTTTCTTGAAATTTTTTTGCCTCTTTGTTTTCTTGAAGTGATGAAACATCTCCATAAAGATATTAACGTCCAAAGGAATGTTTTTCCAGTACCACCAAAACCATAAACAAAAAACATCCCTCCTCTTTCTTTATTTACAGCATCAAGAATCTCATCATATATTTTTTTTTTGTTCATCCGTCATCTTCTGAACATCTTTATCAAGAGTTTCTAACAAAGCATCACGCCAATAACTTCTCTCATCTAATATCAGGACGTTTGAATCATCACCATCTGTTTCTGGAGCTTTTGGCATAGAAGAAAATCTTTCAAGAGAAGTACCATTACGCCGCAGATGTTTCTCAATATCTTGTAAAGCAAACTTCTTTTTCTCTTCATCGTCTAACAATAATTCTGCATAAAGAAAAAGACCAACATTACATGCAAGAAAAGGGTTATAATCACTAAATACAAAAATCATATGCTTAATAAAATGTTTATACACCAAGAAAAATTCTACCTGGCCTGTTGAAAAAAATCTTGCGATTATACTCAATATCTTCAGATAACAGCTCCCATGTTTTTTCGCATAATGTTTCTGGCATAGCCAAGCTATTATTAATCAACATCATAACAAATACATGTCATAGGTCACACTGAACATAACAAATACATGATCAGATCGATAGCATATTTTGATTTGCAAAAGAGTAAAAATATAGATTTGTATGTTATCCATGTTTCCAAACAAAATTTTAAGTATTTTTTATTCATGTTTCCAAACATTTAATTTTTCTGCTTCAGCTTTAATAGTATACTAGATCTTGACCCGCGCCCCCGCGCAGGTGCTGGATTTAAATTCTATTTAACATAAATTTATAAACAATTTAAATTTATAAAAGGCCTATATATATTTTTATGTTTTGTAAATTCCATTTAGAGTAAAATATAAGACAATTCTCTTAAATAGATTTTTTAAGTTTTTATCACAAAAATAGATCACAAAAACTAAAATGAGCATAATAATATTTTTTATTTTGAAAACTTTAAGTTTTCTTTTTAAAAAAAACAAAAATTTGAAACCCTAAACTCATAACTTCAGTTCTCAACTCTAAACAAAAAGGTATAGGATTAGTTAACCCAAATGGTATAAGTGTATATTTACATATTTTTATAAAATATTTAAGTTTATTTTGGTCATTTTTATTTTAATGTCAATATTTGTGTCAAAAAAAAATTAGGTCTATCTTAGTAAATTTCTATTAAATATATTATTTATAATATCGATTTAATAACAATTTTTAATCTGCACATAATATCTAATATATTAAAAGAGAAGTCATGACTCTTTTAATGTGTGATATTTTAAAATGGATCATTTACTAGAATTGGTAACATTATATTATTCAATTATTAATAATATTTATTAGGTTCATTAATAACATTTATTGGGCTTGCCAAAACAAATTATTGGGTTAATAATAATTAGATGATCTATTGAATTTAAAGATAATATAATGAAATACATAAATTAAATTCATATAATTTACTGTTTTAATAGTATAAATTAATTATTTGTATATTTTTGACAAAATTTTTATCTAAAAATAAATGAAAACAAATACCCGCGCGGTTGCGCAGGTTGAAATCTAGTTACATCTATAATTCAGTAACTTAATGTAATTTGATGTAAGTGTAATATTCATATATTACCTTCTTGTTTTTTTTTATATAAAAATGGTTTAATTGTTTTTGTTTTAGTTTTCAATCACTTTATTATATAGTTTTATGATATTTTATGTTATTGAAAACTGTATTAGCAGATTAAAATAAATATTATATTATCTTTTGTGTTTTTATAATCACCATAAAAAACCATAAATTGTACAACAATATTGTAGTTCAGTTTATTTTATTTTTAAATCAATATATGTCAATTATTTAAACAATTTCGGCTAGATTATATAATAAAGTGAATTGAATCATAAAATTGGGCTACACTATATAAAAAGTTAATCTGTCAATTATTTACAGAATTGGGCTGACCCATATTATTATTATTTTCACTATGTCGATTAGTTCACTAATTAATCTGGGAAAATAACGTATTAGCCAAAAAGACAACAACTTTTTTGCTTTCTCCTAAACTTCTCCGTAGCCGCTTCGGTCTCTCTCTCTCTCTCTCTATTTGATTTGATCTCTGTGTCGAGATTACTCTAAAAAACTTGATCAAATATAAAATCTGAGGAATCCGAATCTGTGATCATCAGATTGTTCATCGATATATTGTATAAAAGGTTAGACTGTTTATACTCTGTTTATTCAAGAACGATTAGTTTTTTTTTTAATCATAAAACGTATTCCAATCTTTCTTAGATCTGTCATCTAGCGCAGTAGATTGGCCATCTCAAATCGTCACGCTGTCATAGCATGTAATAGGTAAAATCAGTGTTAATTTCCAATATTTGTATACAGCGAAATTCAATTACATGATGACCATATGTTGGAATCATTGCAAGGTACCGAAAAGAAGAAAAAGGAGATGATTAGATCAACGCTTTCTATTGATTATGTTAGCATATTATATGGTCGACATGGAAAAAGCAAAGTTAGTTTTCTATTTCTCCTTTTTCACTTGTGTTAGAGAAGAAAGATGATCCAGAGATGTTCTATTTTTAATATTCATTGTTTGTTCTGCCGTTTCTATAGCTCACAAAGAAAAGACAGCTTTGATTATTTATAGTTGATAGATTTTTTTTGTTTTTTTTACTTGTGTTCCAGAGATGATCCTAAGGAAGCATTATTCCCTATTTATAATTTGACTATGAGCATAAGCAGTGTCAGGTTTACATCTTATAGAACTCTTTCCTTGTGCTTTTGAAAATAAGGACAGCTTACCACCCTGTGAGCAGGAGAAATAGAGTATTAGAGTATGTTCAGTGTGTTCAAAAAAAAAAAAAAAAAAGAGTATGTTCAGTATTGTAATTTAGATAAATATACGTAAGAAAATAATTTCTTACTGTTTCATCTGCAAGGACGCACTCAAGTGTTTCTCATCTCCTCCAAAGTTCTGTTTTCACGAATGAAGCATCTTCACACGTACTCTCCACCCGGTTTTGTATGGCTTGACATCCTTAAGAAGGTTACAACTCACGTCACTCGACATTTCTTGGGGTGATTTTATATTTGGTGATGGGTTGAGAATGAAGAATTTGAGTCGTAGAGGGATATCTATATATATGCTCACGAAAATTGGTGAGCACGTTAAATATCACAAGGAAAATCTAACCATTAAGATATTTCTTGATTCTATGGTTGATATATATTTGGGTATATTCCTTTTCATTTTACGAAATACATCAATATATTGTTATATTTGTTTGCGATGATTTAGGTAACTAATTATGGAGGCATTTGATGGCTTTTAAGAAGATAAGGAAGCAATATAAGAGATTTGGAAATATATATTTTGTAGAAAAGAAGATGTGGATGAAAATTTAGTTTAGAAATTAAGGTAATCATATATTTTTCTAGACTGGAACCGAGAATCTAGCCTATTATGTCTACTAATTAATATAAACTCTCGATTTTATTAAGATATTCGCATGCTACTGGTTTCAATTTTGGTCTAAATTGTGTGACTATAAATTACGAAAAGGACACTAATAAAAGCAGAAAAAATGTTATCTCATGTTAATCTTGTGTCCAAACAACAGCAAAAAAAAATTAGAAGTCTGCTATCCTTGTATCCAAACAGTACCAAAAGGTACTTTAGTTTTAATAATATAGACTAGATTTTGACCCGCGCAACCGCGCGGGTGTTTGTTTTCGTTTATAGTTAATTATATAAATATTTTATTTTCATTTACAAATTGGTATTTATTATAGTAATTAAATATTTATAATGTGTATAGTAAATGTTTTGCAAACATAATAATATTATATAATACGTGTTTTAATCAAATAGATTGTTTCAAGTTTTCTATATTATACATGTTTTTCAAATTTGTGTTTGTTTCTTCTTCTGTATTTTATTGTTTGTTAGATTAGTATTTCATATTTAATTAAAGTAACATAAATAGAGATTGATTAAATATTATTATACTTTAATTTGCAAAGTTAATAAATTATATCGAAGGTGTGGGGTAATTTACCCAAACTAAATATATCCTTATAAATAATAGAATATTCCTAAACTTATATCTATTGACATATTTTGCGTTATCGGACGGTGAATATTCTGTTAAATCTATTCCACATATATATAAATATTCCATATTACGAATCTGTGATTTTTGTTAATATATTGTGGATGCATTTAATTATTATTGATATATTTCCTTATAAATAATAGAAAATTCATAAACTTATATCTATTGACATATTTTGCGTGACTAAGTTGGAAGGTGTGGGATAATTTACCCAAACCAATTTTTTAAGCATATGTTTGTTATTATAGATATGATTTTTCATAAGATATAATAATGATAAGATTAGAGAGTTTAATATAACCCTCCTTTCTAGGAATAAGTCCAAAATTTAAAAAATCACACATGAATTCAAGTTATGACTTCTGTTTTAATATATAAGATATATATATATATATATATAATTTTATTTAAGATAAAACTACGGACAAATAATTTTTATATACACAAAACATCTAAAAATGCTTATAACCCGGTCAAACCTAATCCCAGAAAATGCTTTTTATATTTGAAATTTCAAATCAGATTGAATTGCTTTTTAGATAGAGAGAGCAGAGCCTACAAGGTTTGGAATTGGGTCATATTTGGTCTACTTTAATAGAATGAGAGTTTATGGAGAAACATATAATACAAACAAAAGTATACACCCTTTTAGGTGATAACTGAAAACACTTAAGCGAAATTGTAATTTTAGAAAAGTTAAGTTTTTGATACTATAAAGCCCTAAAAACCTAAATCGAACAACGACTCTCGCTCGGCCGTTTCAGCTCTCATCGCAAACAAAGCAAAAAAAAATGGCTGGAAAAAAGCAAGAGCTTCCCTTATCCGCCGTCGAGAGTCCGATGAGAGACACGTTAAAGCAGAAGAAGAAGAAAAAGAGCAAGAAGAACAAACAGGCAGAGGAGGTCGAAGTGCCTCAAGAGCTCGTCGTCACTAATGGTGAAGAGTTGAGTAGTAAAGAGAAGAAGAAGAAGCGTAAGAGAGATGAGAAAGAGATGGAGAAGGAGAAGAAGAAGAAAGAAGAGAGTAAAATCCCAGAAAAGAAGCCGGAACCTGAGGCTTCTGAAGGAGTAAGTGAGCAGAAGGTTGTGGTCACGGGGAAAGGTGCGGAGGAAGCAAAGTACGCAGCTTTAACATCATTTGCTGAATCGAAGTTGCCGGAGAATGTTCTTGATTGCTGCAAGACTTTCCAGAAACCTTCTCCGATTCAGTCTCACTCGTGGCCGTTTTTGTTGGACGGTCGTGATCTTATCGGGATTGCAAAAACCGGTTCAGGTTAGTTATGTTTTGTCCTTTGTTAGTTAGTTTTAGAATAGTAAAGATTGTAACTTTGTTATTTGGGTGTTTAGGTAAGACATTGGCGTTTGGGATTCCTGCGATTATGCACATGTTGAAGAAGAACAAGAGTGGTAAAGGAACAAGGAACCCGACTTGTCTGGTTCTTTCTCCGACAAGAGAGTTAGCTGTTCAGGTACAGATATAAACCAGTTTCTTTCATTTTCTAGTTAAAAAAGGTGAACATATTCTCAGTTTTTGGGTGATGTTTTTTTGTCAGATTTCTGATGTTTTGAGTGAAGCTGGAGAACCATGTGGTTTGAAATCGATTTGTGTGTATGGTGGAAGCTCTAAAAGGCCTCAAATTAACGCTATTCGATCTGGAGTTGTAAGTCTTGTTGTTATGTTCTTTTTGTTACGACATTTGTCTTGTGTTGGCTGATTAATCAAATGACGGATGACTTGTGTTTTTAGGATATTGTCATTGGTACGCCTGGGCGTTTGAGAGACCTGATTGAGTCTAACGAGCTCCGTCTCTCAGATATTTCCTTTGTGGTAAGCAATATAACATTTTTTAAAAATCATGTTAGTTTACTTATCCTCTTACAATCATATAAGTTGCATCGTTATTGCATGTATTAGACAGTAACATAAGTTTCTATGTTCCAGGTATTGGATGAAGCAGATCGAATGCTTGATATGGGTTTCGAGGAACCAGTCCGGTTTATTCTGAGCAAGACGAATAAAGGTAAGTGTAGGGATCCCATTTCACCTAGCGTTCTCACCGACGATGAGCTAACTCATGGATCTTGTTTGATTCTCCTGCCAAATTGTAATGAAAACATACTTCCTCTTTCTTATAGTTCGTCAGATGGTTATGTTTAGTGCAACTTGGCCTATAGATGTTCACAAATTGGCTCAGGAATTCATGGATCCAAACCCGGTCAAGGTATCTTTTCCTTTTCAGTTTTATCTTCTCTGACCTACAGAGTTGTTTCATTTTCTCAATGGTCATTCAAATTTCTTTCAGATAGTCATAGGTTCTGAAGACTTGGCTGCCAACCACGACGTTATGCAAATCGTCGAGGTATGTTCTCTACCTCTGACGACTCTCAGAGCAAGTAATGCTTTAACCTTAAGTCACACTCCTAACAAGAACATATCTTTGATTTCGGTACAAATGCAGGTCCTGGATGATCATGCTCGTGATCAGCGTCTTCTTGCTTTACTAGAAAAATATCATAAATCACAAAAGTATATACGCTACTCAATTATTCAAACTCCTTACCAGATCTTTCTTTTGTCACCCTACTGACAGCAAGTGTTTCGCTTTGGGTGATTACAGGAACAGGGTTTTGGTATTTGCCTTGTACAAGGTGGAAGCTGACCGTCTCGAGCGTTTCCTTCAGACAAGGTTTGATCTTTCTTTTTCTGATTCACCTCTATATAGCAAAGATCTTTGGGATGATTATGCTAATCTTTGCATAACTAAATAGAGGCTGGAAGGCTGTATCCATTCACGGAAACAAAGCACAGAGCGAACGTACCAGGTCTTTGGCATTGTTCAAAGAAGGATCCTGTCCGTTGCTGGTACGCAACTAACTTCATGGTTTATTATAGTAATAAATAATGTCTTGGCTGGTTTTGAAAACAGAGCATTGATATTTTTTTAATGAAATTTGAAGGTGGCTACTGATGTAGCAGCAAGAGGGCTTGATATCCCGGACGTGGAAGTAGTGATAAACTACAGTTTCCCTTTAACAACAGAGGATTATGTACACAGAATCGGTAGGACGGGAAGAGCGGGTAAAAAAGGTGTTGCGCACACCTTCTTCACACAACAGAACAAGGTAAGTTAAAGCTTATTTATGAAAACCTTAAGCAGAGTTTTCTGAGATAAGTAAAATATTGTTGTGTCTTTCTCTGTCTCTTCAAGGGTCTTGCTGGAGAGCTTGTAAATGTTCTCAGGGAAGCTGGACAGGTCGTGCCTGCTGATCTTACGAAGTTTGGCACTCATGTAAAGAAAAAGGTTTGATTCTCCACACACACTCCTTCATCATCATCAGCTACATATGGAGTGGTTGATGTGTGTTTGATTAAAAATTGCAGGAATCAAAACTGTATGGAGCTCATTTCAAAGAAATAGCAGCTGATGCTCCAAAAGCTACCAAGATCACATTCGCTGATTCTGACGACGAGGACTAAGTTTTTCATATTCGATTAGTTTATTATTGTTCTAGATTAGATATGAAAACCTCCCTTTGATTTTCGTCTTGTGTGTCGGCTCTGCCTGAATAACATATATACATTTTGTTTCAGCATTTTCGTAATATTTGTTTGCTTTTGTCGTATTGGTAAAATAGTACTCTCTTTCTCATAAGAAAATGTTATTCTAACAATTTTTTCTTTTAAATAAAAAAATATCTTTAGAATTTCAATGCAAAATATACTTAGTTTTTAGCTGAAATTAATTGCAAACTACATTAATTTTATAAATAGTTTTATTTATTTCAAATACTATTGGTCATTATATGTAATTTGTATTTATTTATACACATTTCAATCACTTTCTTAATCAAACGGAGGAAGTATTATTTCCTTAAAATACATTTACTCAATCATACACTACAAAGGGCTAATTAGTTGGTGGTTGGGGCTTAAGGTTTTTGATTTAGAATTTAGGATGTGGGTTTAATTATTTGATGTGCTTAAGGTTTTTGATTTAGAATATAGGATGTGGCTTTAATTTTTTGATGAGTTTTATTTTCCTAGATATTAAAAGTATTAAATAAAGAAATATTTACATATCTCAGGTCATAAGCTTATTAATTACATTCTATAGTAGGATATTTTCATCATATCATTGTAGATTTTTTTTTATGTTGATTTAGAATTCAAATCATGATCTGTCTGTTTTAATTGAATCTGTTTGAGTTTTATTTGATAGTTCATTCATTGTATTGTGACTATGTGATGCTAAGTGATAATATATATAAAAATGTATAGATAGAGATAATGTGCGAGGGTGGGGGTTCAGAGATATCTGAACTAGCGACGCTACGATGGAGTACAGAGGTTCAGAGATATATGGGTTAGCAACTGTACTAGCGACGCATCGTATGTATATCCGTATAAAGAGATGAAAGATGTGTTTAGCTATGCACTATGAGCGTATTGGTTGTTCATTATGATGCTTTAGACATCAAGTTTGTTCATAATGGGAGTTTTGTTTACTCAAGTCTGTGTTTTGCGTGATTATCATCTCATACTTCACTTAGTGACTCTCCTATTATTTACCCTTTCTATTTCTTTTCAGATGAAACTGACGATCAGGAGTGTTCATTTTGGATTGGTGCTTTTGAAAGTTTTATTTCCTTCTTTTTAGACTTATGGTTTTTATGTTTTTATCAATATTTTAAGGATTTATTATGTTATTTGGATTTATGACTATTTATTAGATTTATGGAGTCTGGAGGTGATTTATGCAGATTAATAAACAGAAAATTTGTGAAAACCCCCTTAGTTCAAGTAAACTATGGCGAAAGTGATTTATTAAACAATTATGCAGATTACAAAAGAAATACTTACAAGAAATCTTCAGCGTGGTGCAAGTAAACTCGACCAGACGTGAATCTTCATAGAACGACTCAGGTGATGCAGTTAAATGTAAGATCATCATAAGACAAGTAGTATTGTTGGTTGTCAAATCGTCTGTGTAATCTTTCTCATAATTGTATTATCATAATAAACCAAGAATTCATGATTATTATTTATACTATTTATTTTAAAAAATACGGGAGTTACAATTACGTCAATTCCAAAAATACCATAATTCCAAATATACCATAGAATTCTCACAAATTGGTGATTTTTCATACTTTCAAACACCAATTTCTTGAGGAAGTTGTCTGAATACGTGGGGATCATTGAGAGAGTCCCTCTTTGAATAGCTAAATGATACTCAAACATGACACGGTAATTACAAATACATTAAAAGATGGGAGAAGAATGTGGTAAAAGTGAAGGTGACCTCATGTAACCAAATATACTAGATTCACATATTCGAAATTACGTCATAAACAAAAAAAATTGAAAGTTAGTATGGAGCACGTGCCTCACCTTCTATATGTTAATGAGAAGCCAATGACCCATCGTTGAAGCTGAAGCAAAGGAAACAAGTGGAGTTGACCAGGGATATTCTTGGCTAAGCAACGAGAAGGCAATTCACTGAAAATATGATACCTGACTCTTTGCAAAATCCCCCTATCAAGTCACTTTGCAAGGCATTTTAAAGAAGAATGAAGTAGGGGTTCAAGTGCAAGCCAGGAGGGCAAACACTCCTCATTATCATCCCAAAGACATGATGGCTTGATCTCAACCCAAAATGAAGGTGATATGACATGATTTTGACATGTTTTTAGTCATGGTATATTAGTGTTTTACTACTATTTACTATACTATAGAAGCTTTTAAGCATATTTATGAGTTTAGGAGTATTTTGGAAGAAAGTGATGTTTTTGGAGCATTTTGGAGAGAATTGGAAGAAGCGCTCGATCCAGACTCGATTACGAGGTCGACACAGAGACCCGGATCGATCGACATGCATCATGCATAATCGGTCGATTATCAAGATCCAGATGCCAATTCGAGAGACAAGTTGACTTGAAGCCCAATCATCACCAAATGACGATTTTACCCCTGACGAATTTTAACCTAAGTTTATATACTCTGCCAAAGTGTTAGAGGCAAGAATGAGAGAGAGTTTTATTGTATTCTTTTCACAGAAAAGTTTTAGGATTTTATAGTTTGGAGAAAAGATCATCAAAGAGATTTGAGAGTGGAACTCCAGTGTTTTCTACCAATCTATTTATTTATAATATGCAATTTTATATATCTATTTGTGTTATGAATTGCTTAGCTATGTCTGAATAGTTTACTTGTTAGATTTAAGATTTAAATAGGTTAGAGGGATTAGCCCCAACTATAGGATTTCTAGTTCTGATATTCATTGATATGATGTTTTAATTTCTCATGGTTCTAGAGTAGTTAACTAGAAACGTTGAATCCCGGATTATTTACATTGGATTAGAGACATTTAAGTGATTCTGATAATCCTGAACACACCCCTATTAAGCTAAGATTTTTTTTTGAAATATAATTGATAAGATTTGATTTAGAAGTCTTTAGTGAGTTTATGTTAACTCATGTGTATTGTTTGACCGGACTCATCGATCAATATTCCTAACAAAAATCGATCGATGATGAGTTTAGTGTATCAATCGATGTTCCTATCGAATAATCGATCGACACTGTCAAGGGCGACCATCCGATCATTAGACTTATTTATTTGAACGTTAGTTTAGATACTTTGTTAAACAAGATAGTTAATGCTTTATAGTATCTCGCAAGCAACTGAATAGCATCCTATAGAATTATAATCCTAAAAACCTGAATAAAAAACCTAAGTCTAGAATCTTTTCCATTTTAATCTTAAGAGTCTTTGTTTCCATTCTAGATTAAGTAATTGTCTTACTTAATTGGAATATTTCATTTTTGCTCATTTATTGTTTCTGTTATTTATACATTCACATAAAGTTATATTTAACTAGATCTATTAGGTTCCCTAGCTCTTTGTAGATTCGATCCCTAAGTACTACATGTGAACCTCTTATTTGAGAGAGTAATTAACTCCTTAGGGTAATTTAAGTGATATCAAATTTGGCGCCATTGCCGGGGAGCTTTGATAGCCTTTAGATTTAGTTTTTCAATTCTAGGTTTGTATATTTTTTTTTGTTTTCCCTATCATCTTCTGACAAAACTTTTTTCTTGATTTCTTTTCAGGTGCATGCATAGCATAACCAGAAGCAACAAGGAAAATTATTCTCAGAAGATCCAGCTAGTTTGGAACGCTCGATCCGAAAATACCAACGTTCCGCATCGATCGACGCTACCCTAGTTTCGTCGACCGATTCTCGTCAAACCTTAACCGATCTCGCTTCATCGTCCATTGACACAGAACACTCTTAGTCTACCGATGCTGATCACTTGACATCGACCGACACCGATCAACGTACATCGATCGATTATCAGCTGCGAGACATGGTTGCGCCTTTGATTCTAACCGCGCACGCGAATGAAAACCTGTATGACCAGAATGGTCATCTGCGTAATGCAACATGTCAGAAACTGGATACTCAGGGTAATGTTATCCTTGAACCTGATACTGAGGAACATACTCAATCTAAGACCTTGGCAGATTACAACCATCCAGTCAGTACTACGCCAATAGGGCAGCTATTCGTCTCCCAGACGTCTAGAGGGAGAATTTCGAGTTGAAACCCTAGTACTACACGCTTGTGGCACATGTACCCTACTGTGGGTTGCCACATGAGAATCCTATGGACCATCTTGAGAGGTTCGAGGATCTCATTGCTACTCTTAGAGTTAAAGGAGTCCCTGAGGACTACTTATTGTGTAAGCTCTTCAAGTTCTCACTAGCTGGAGATGCTGCACATTGGCTCAAGCAGTTACTACCAGGATCTCTTACATCCTGGGCTGGCATCAAGAATGCGTTCCTGCGCAATTTCTTTGATGAGGGACGAGCAGAAGAACTAAGGAGCAGAATTGCTATTTTCACACAGAAGCCCGGAGAGTCTTTCAAGGATTCTTGGCAGAGATTTAAGTTCTTCCAGCGCGACTGTCCACACCATGGGTTTAATGAAGTACAGCTGCTTAGTACTTTCTTTAGAGGAATCGCTCTGAAGTATCAGAGTGCTCTGGATACAGCCAGCAATGGAAGCTTCAACACTAGGAATCTGGAGGAAGCTGTGAGGCTTATCGAGAATTTAGCAAACAGTACCAGTATCAAGAACACCGATTATGAAAAGAGGAAATATGTAGCATTTCTTGGGAAAGAACAACTAGATGAAGTAAAAGCTCAGCTGGAGAATGTCAATCATCTATTTATGAGGCAGGTTTGCTCAGCAGAAGGTGTAAATGATGAGGATTCAGAGTTAGCAGATGTGAACTACATTGGAGGAACGGGATTTCAGAGGTCTGGGATCCAGCTTGGAAACAGAAACTTCAACCAGAATCCACAGTTTCAGAAACCCTACAGCAACTACAGCAACAACAAGGGGTATGGAAATTCTTTATACCAGAACCCCCCACCACAAACTCAGGAGAGCAAGATCGAAGCTATGCTTGATCAGGTTCTACAAGGACAACAAAAGCTGACAGTAGACTTCAATGGGAAGATAGATACTGTCTACAAGGAGTTCGGACACAAAAATTGGAGCTTTAAGCACTCAGGTCAGGAAGCTTGAGACTCAGGTAATTCATACTGAAGAAGTTGTCAGGAGGCAAGAAGGGGATGAACCTATGAGACACCACGTCAATGCTATATTGGATGATGATTTCTCGTAAGAAATT